TCATAACTCAGGTGGTATCTGTCCAAAGCTGTCTATACAAATAGTAATACCAATTAATTTCACCAACATGCACGCAAAATTCCAAATAACATATTAGTAAATTAATGGAAAATACTACACTATTACCAAAAATAAGTTCTTCTGGAAATGTCAGAATGGTATCATAATCAATCTATGACTTATAATAAGAGATTAAAAAAACCATGGTTACCTCACTAGATGCTAAAAATTCTTTTGATGGAAATTCAACATTTGATCCTGATAAAAAGTTAATATCCTAGTAATGGAAGGGTACCTCCTCCACATCTACTGAAATGAGTAATAGAACTTAAAACTGACATATTAGAGGAAGTTCATTAAGGAGAAAAAAAGATAAAGGTGATTCTCTTTATTGCTATTATTTAATATTGTTCTTGAAGTTCTATTCAAAGGAAGAAAATAGAAATGATGGGCTGGGGTTGTGGCTCAGTGGTAGAGTGCTCACCTAGCATGTGCAAGGCACCGGATTTGATCCTCAGCACCACATAAAAATAAATAAATAAAAGGTATTGTGTCCAACTACAACTAAAAAAATATTTAAAAAAAGAAAATAGAAATGAGATATGGATATTAGAAACTCTTACAGAAAACTATTATTTTCTATAACCCCAAGCAAATAAAGCAAATCATCATCATCATCATCATCATCATCATCATCATCATCATCATCATCAGTTATACAAGTCAAATCCAACCAATTACTTTCCTTCAAAACAGCAATAACCAGTTTGAAAAGACTGGGAAAAAGATACTAGTCACAATAATAATAAAATTAATATGCTAACTGGGAATAAACTAAACAAAAATAATACTGGGACAAGTAGATACCCACTTGTGAAAACATAAAATCTGAGTCATATAACTTAAAGCATAAAAGCAAAAAAAGCAAAAAAGAAATAGATGTGGATATTTTTTAAATCTTGGGCTATAAGGAGGTTTCTAAAACTTTAACATCAAAGGCAGTAACTATGAATAAAAAGATAGATGTGACTACATAAAAACTGAACTGTATTAAGACTTGCAGGGGTTGGGGATATGGCTCAAGTGGTAGCGCGCTCCCCTGGCTTGCATGAGGCACTGAGTTTGATCCTCAGCACCCACTTAAAAATAAAGATATTGTATCCACCTAAAAAAACTATAAATAAATAAATAAATAAATAAATAAATATTTTAAAAAAGAATTGCAAAATATATCACATATAAAGGAAAAATGACAAACAGGAGAAGAAGATATCAGTAATACCTCTGAAAGAAGATATCAGTAATACATGACAGAGTTAATATACTTTGCATACAAATTGCTTTTATGATAGGGCCGAGGATGTGGCTCAGTGGCAAAACTTTTCTAGCATGTGTGAGGCCCTGGGTTCAATCCCCACCACCACCAAAAAAAAAAAAAAAAAAAAAGAAAGAACAAAAAAGATCTTGGAGCCTTTATGAAGCCATTATAAAAAGATGAAGAGGGGGCTGGGGTTGCCTTTCAGAGGTAGAGCGCTCACCTAGCGTGCGTGAGGCACTGGGTTTGATCCTCATCACCACATAAACAAATAAAGATATTGTGTCCACCCAAAACTAAAAAATAAATATTAAATAAAAAGATGAAGAGCTTAAAAGCAAGGAGTGACACTAAAAAGAACAATTATAAAAGGATAAGAGGAAAAAATATCATCAACTCACTGGCAATCAAAGACATATAACATTTTCTTACCTCCCACATTGGCAAGGATAAAAAGGAATAGTACTGCTGAGAGTATGAGAATACTTCCCTTTTCTGAAGGGAAATTGTGTAAAACACAACAAAAATATCAAAAATATAGATCATTTTGGACATCAAAATTTGAATTTGGGGCTGGGGATGTGGCTCAAGCAGTAGTGCACTCGCCTGGCATGCGTGCGGCCCGGGTTCAATCCTCAGGACCACATACCAACAAAGATGTTGTGTCCGCCGAGAACTAAAAAATAAATATTAAAAAAATTCTCTCTCTCTCTCTCCCTCTCTCCTCTCTCACTCTCTCTTTAAAAAAAAAAAAATTTGAATTTGATTATCTTAAAATACAGAGACACATAAAATTTGGTTATTAGAAAAAGACTTTGGTCAAGTGTGGTGGCACATGCCTATAACCCCAGTGACTCAGGAGGCTTAAAGAGAGGAAACACAAGTTTGAGGTCAACCTCAGCAACTTAATAAGACCCTATTTCAAAATAGAAAATAAAAAGGACTGCTGATATAGCTCATTGATAGAGCACTCCTGGGTTCAATCCTCAGTACTGAAGTAGAGGTGAATTTCACTACAAGGATATTTATCATAGAAACATTGTTTGTAATAGGGAGATTTGAGAAACTATTCAAAATGAAGGATGCCCAACTAAATGATAATTTCTTACTATGTAGTATACTGTAGCCATTAAAATTACATTACTATGAAAGGAAGACCTTGTCTATTAAGTGACATGGAGGTGGCAATCACAATTTTTGTCTTAAACAGGCAAATTATATATATTTTACTGCTGAGGGCCATTGCCAAGTAGGAATGACGCATCGAAATTTCCTTGCCAGCGTACCCCATGTTACTTAGAGGACATTCGATGGGACATTGCATGTATGCTTTAGTAGGGTGACCTTGCTCAAAGACCAGGGCGGATCCGGGTTTAGAGCTGATCAGGTTTTAGGGAGTATCCCGTCCTTGGGTTTAGGGAAGTTCCAGGTTTAAGGTGTACCCTGGGGGGGGGGGAATAGGGCGTATCCTGCTGCCTCAGGAACGCCCCATCCTTGAGTTCCCCCATCCTTGAGTTCCCGCTGAGTTCTGTGGAGAGAAAGATTTGGGACTTGAATTGTGCGGCAGAACTTGGATTTTACCTAGAACATGTTTGTAGAGGCCGGTGTGAGTTCGGGAATAAAAGAATTGCTGTTTGAATCTACAAAGCTGTGAGTGCCTCCTGATCTTGTGCCCAGCCAAGACATTGGCATTTTACATGTAAATATATACATTTTTCTCCTCTGTAGAAAAAAGTGTAAAAGAACAAAAATGTTAATCATTTTATCTCTGAAAAATGGGATTATAGCATTGGATATATTACCTAACAAATAACGCCAACATTATTTGGCACTAAAAAAATATTCACTATCTCTATTCTATGAGGCAGGAATTTGGGAAGCAGATAAGCTGGTGGTTTTGCTTCAAATGTCCATCAAGATGTTGGCTAAGGTTTCCATTGTTGGTAGGCTACACCGAGCTGAAGGACCTCTTTCCAAGGAGCCCCTCACGTATCTGTGGACAAGAGGCCTGAGTTCCTTGCTGTATGGGCCTCCTGACAGGGCTACTTCATGAGACAGCAGCTGGCTTCCCCCAGAGAAAGATACAATATCTTTTAGGACCTATCTTAGAAAGCCACACTGTTATCTGCTAAATTCTACATTTTAAAAACAAGTCACTAAGTCCAATCAAGGGGAGGAGAATTAAGCTCTATTTCATGAAGGAAGGAGTATCAATTTGTGGACTATTTTGAAATCCCAACAGGTAACCTGTGGCATATGCAAATACAAATGTTAATTTCCAAATACATATACAAATAAATAGAAATGTTAATTTCACAAATACATATGTAAACACATACATACGGACATAAAGAGACAACTTAGAAAAAATAAAAATCTTCATTAAACATTATGTGCTTACCACAAACTGTAACAAATTCTAAGCTGGAATAACAGAAAAATGGCACTTGGAACAAGTTCTGAGATACTCTGTACCACCAAGACAACATCCGTCATGTCCTGTTCAGCTCTGAGTACCACACTTAGTTGTTTCTAAGTAGAAAATGCACACTGGAGCTTACAACTTAGAAAAAATTACTTCAGAATGAGGAAAACTAAAGGTGTTCACAGCTTGAAAGAAAGTAGGCACATCATAACTTTCAACTGTATATAGGATTATCACATGGAAAAGACTTAAGAGTCAAAACTAAACCAACGAGTCAGAGTCATACGGATTCAATGTGGGTCAATATAAGGAGAACTATCTAACAAGAGTTGGTAGAAACCTACATGAGACACTCAGGTGGCTATAGGAGTTGTTCAGGGAGCACTGTGCTGCCACTCCCTGAACCACTCTAAAGTTCATATCCAAACAAGTCCCTCTCTTATTCACACTGATGTGGCTGGTGTTGAAAGCAACCCTATAGCTTTTGCCAATGCAGCATACCTAACTTAAGCTATGAGATGTAAGTGAAGTACATGGTGGTTGGCATGGTACAATGCCTGGCATACATAAATGTTAGCTATAAACTCTGGGTTGACTTAAAAAGTAACAGGAGCTGAACATGGTGGTATATGCCTGTAATCTCAAGGAGCTTGTGAAGATGAGGCAGGAGGATCACAAGTTGAAAGCCAGCCTCAACAATTTAGCAAGGCCCTCAGCAACTTAGTGAGACCCTGTCTCAAAATTTAAAAATATGAATAGGGCTGGGGATGTGGTTCAGTGGTTAAGTGCCCCTGGTTTCAATTCCTGTTTCCAAAACAAAACAAACAAAACACCATGATAGGATGCTCTGTTAAGTTCTCTTTTAAAAAGTCCAACTTTTAAAACTTAATTAAAATAAAAAAGTTAAAGCCACTATCATCAACTATTAATTCTGATGGTCAGTTTCAGTAATAATAATATAAATACTTAAGGGTAGGAATGACAAAATTCATCTTCAAAGCCAAGATGGTTGGATATGCTTTGGGAAACCACAAAGAACAGAGGCAGGCATTGATACAGACATATAAAAGCCACAAAAATCAAAACTAAACATATTTAAACAAGTCATATCCTCTTGGTGTATGTGGTCTGCTTTCTGGAATGAAACTACTTTAAAAAAGGAGACTCAAACTGGGCTATTTTAGCCCCTCAGAGCAAATTAAATTATTACAATTAAATTATTCACCCATGCCTGCCAACTACCCACAACTGAAAACTTACTTTTTGGGTGCCAGCAGCCTGGATATCCTGCCATGTTGCTACAGGTTCTGTAGCTACGTGCCACTCTGGGTATGTTTTCGTGAGTAACTTCACAAAGGTGGACTTTCCCACAGCTGCAATGCAAACAGCATGTATTGGGATGCTTTCTAAATCAGGCTGAAGAAGGCTGCTATGTTCTATCACAAATGCCCACCTCAAAGGAACAAGTTTTACCAATTTCAAAACTCGGCAGCCATACCCTTATCTTTGAATTGATAATGGGCAAGGCCAGAGTCATCATAATGAACAGAAATAACAGGAAGGAAAAAATCCCCTCAAGGTTTGATCTGTAATTTTAATGTCTCAATCTCCCAGAGGTAATGACTATTTAGTAATAGCTGAAAATTTAACAGATCTATCATAAATAGATGAAATCAGCTACACAAATTGTAAATGCTTCAGTCACAGTCTTATTTGCTCTATGACAGGCCAAGGGTGGGGGAAGGATAACCCATGCAGAGGGAGAAGTATGAATGAAAGCCTGGAAGAGAGAGAAAAAAAAAAAAACTTGGCACATGACACAGGAAAAGAGAAGAATGAGGCTCTAAAGTCAGCATGGCTACAGTATGGGCAAATGAGGGAGAAAACTGGCTCAAGATGCAGGTGGCTGAGCAGGTAGTCCAGGGCCAAAGTCAACCAGGGCCTTGAAGCCATGGTAAGAAATTTGACTTCTATTCTAAAGGCACACGGAAGTCAGTGACAATGGGTTTTAAGCAGTAAAATTACATTTCTTCTAAAAATCCACTTCATCAGGTGTATTAAAATGGGCTGAAGTGAAAGTAGGCAGATCAATCAGATGATGACAGTAGCCTGATTAGAGTAATAGCAAGGATATGGAAAGGTATCGGTTGCTTTTGAAAGGGTAAAGTTTTTAAGCTGGAAAGCTTGAATGTAAAAGATCAGGTATTATTAAGTTCCTCTGTTACACCCAGATTCCTGAGATAGT